CACACACACACACACACACACACACGCACACACACACACAGCAGGACAGTGGACATAGTTATCAAGACATGTGAGAGCTGACAAGACAGACGTAAGTCAGGGCCAGGCGCAGAGGGAAAGGACACTTGCCGCACAAGCCTGCAGACCTGAGCTTGTGCCCCAAACCATGTGAAGATGGAAGGAGAGAGCCAACTCCACAGTGCTGTCCTCTGAGCCCTGCACTTGTGCCCCCCCACACACACACAGATACATACAATCATCATCGTCGTCGCATTTTTTAAAAAGAGCTCCCAGTCCAGAGTAAACCCATACTCTCTTTGGCCGACTGACTTCCAACACAGGAACCAAAACCACTCACGGGGGAAGGAGTATCAACAAATGATGCTGAAAACAACTGGACAGCCCTGAAAGCAAGCAAACAAAAAGATAACAATAGGCCAGCCACGGGGGGCAGATACAGGGGGATCTCAGTGAGTTCAAGGCCAGCCCGGTCTACAGAACGAGTTCCAGGACAGCCAGGACTACACAGAGAAATCCTGTCTTGGAAAATCAACCAACCAACCAACCAAAAGATGATGATGATGATGAAGTGGATCCAGGGCACAGACACAAGAGCTGAAACTACAAAGTTCCCAGAAGCAAACCTCCCTGGCCCTGGATGGCAAAAGAAGCTTAAGTAACTCCACAAGCAACAAAAGAGAATGGGACACACAGACCCCTCAAGGCCTGCACAATGGCTCAGAGATGAAGGAGAACTGACTTCTCCACATTAGCCTCTAACCTCCACACACGCACCATGGTACATCCATCATAGCAAAAACACACTAACTATATGAATAAAAACATACACAGACAATTGTTACAAACCTTAAATCCGATAAGGCACTCACTCATACCTTAAATATACAAAGAACTTATTAAAAAAGGGGGGTAACAAAACATGACCAACTAATCCTACTTAAAAATGGACTCACCTGGCGTGATGGGGTACACGCCATCAGGAGATAGA